CTGGTCTGTGAAAGGCGGTATATAAATAAAGATTACTTACTTACTTATGGGCTTTTGCTCTGACAGCGTCAAGTTCTGACCTTTAAGCAACAGGAGCAGATATGTTGCTAAGGAGGTTGCTAAGGCAAACTGGAGTTTCTTCAGAATGAAGGCCTCTGATTGGTCAGTTCTTATATGGTCATATCAGGATTTACAAAGACATTAAAACATCAGGATCACAGAGAGTTAGCATTGAGCTAGCAGGTTAGCATTGTCCATCTGTATACAGTCTGTGGACAATGTCCAGCCCCTCCTCTCTCCTCCCTCTTCTCTGTCTCCTCTTCTCTGTCTCCTGTCTCCTCTCTCCTCCCTCTCCTCTGTCTCCTCTTCTCTGTCTCCTCTCTCCTCCCTCTGCTCTGTCTCCTCTCTCCTCCCTCTGCTCTGTCTCCTCTCTCCTCCCTCTCCTCTGTCTCCTCTCTCCTCCCTCTGCTCTGTCTCCTCTCTCCTCCCTCTGCTCTGTCTCCTCTCTCCTCCCTCTGCTCTGTCTCCTCTCTCCTCCCTCTCCTCTGTCTCCTCTCTCCTCCCTCTGCTCTGTCTCCTCTCTCCTCCCTCTGCTCTGTCTCCTCTCTCCTCCCTCTCCTCTGACTCCTCTCTCCTCCCTCTCCTCTGTCTCCTCTCTCCTCCCTCTGCTCTTGTCAGTGGGGGCGGGTCCCAACTCGAAAGTGTCCAAAATGACGTGCACTGACATTCTTGCAATACCACCCCGGGCCTGTGGGGGTGATATGATCTAGTACCGACCCATTTTCCAGTCCCCGCGGCCATTTTGAATCACTCCATGAGAGCCCTATTTTTGGCCCATTAGTCAGAATGGCGGTGATAGGCGTGACTACGTCCGTTAATGCATACAGTCTATGGCTCTGTCTCCTCCCTCCTGTGATGTAACTGTTTTGACACCTCCTCTCTCCGCAGATGCTGTCTCTGGTCTCCTCCTCTCATGCCTCCTCCCTCCTCTCCTCCCTCTCCTCCCTCCTCTCCTCGGGGCTCCTCTGTGATGTCACAGTGGAGGTGGATCAGACCCGGTTCCTTGCTCACCGCTGCGTGTTGGCTGCAAGCAGCTCGTACTTCCACCACAAGCTGTGCGCCGGGCCCCCTCAGCACGCCACGCCCCCTTCGCATGACACACCACCTCAGCCTGCCATGTCCCTACAGCAGGCCACGCCCCCTAAGCAGCAGGCCACGCCCCCTCTACAGCAGGTCACACCCCCCAAGCATCAGGCCACGCCCCCTAAGCAGCAGGCCCCTCAGCTCCCCCTGCTGACCCTGCCCAGTGGCCTGCGGTGTGACCTGTTCTCCACAGTCCTGACCTTCCTGTACTCCGGTCGCGTCTCTGTGGAGGAGCGGCACCTGGAGGATCTCCTGCACACCGCAACGGAACTGCAGGTGCACAGCCTTGTGCGAGCGCTCAGCGAGGAGAAGAAGAAGAGGAGAGAGAGGGAGGTACAACTCTTCATCTGAGCCTGAATGTCTGTTCATCTGAGCCAAAATGTCTGTTCATCTGAGCCATCTGGGCGGCAGTAGCTCAGTTGGTAGAGCGTTGGCCTTTGAGCCAGAAGGTCGTGGGCTCAAGACTTTCACTATCGACTCCCACTGTCTGCTGTCATTGTGTCCTTGGCAAGACACTTAACCGCTGGGAACAGCAGCCACAGTGGGGCGGCTGCGGCTGTAAAGTGCCAAACGTCCGTTGTGTCCTTAGGCAAGACACTTCACCCCCATTGCCTGGAATGAGTCTGGTGTGTGTGTGAATGGTTGGTGGTAGTCAGAGGGGCCGATGGCGCATGCTGGTTGCCCCGCTTCTGTCAGTGTGCCCCAGGGCAGCTGTGGCTACAGTAGTTTATCACCACAGTGTTTGGAGAGAATGAATAATGACACATGTGAAGCTTGTCCAAAAAAGCGCTGTATAAAACCGATGCATTATTATTATTATTAAAATGTCTGTTCATCTGAGCCAAAATGTCCTGTCCTCAGCTTCTGTTTTCTGCTTCTGTCGCCTCCAGGAGAAAGTCATGGATCGGAAACGAGGACGGCCGCGGAAAAGAGACGTTTTAGCCACAAGAGAAGTGAGAGAGACTGGAGGAGGTGATACAGAGACTGGAGGAGGTGCCACAGAGACTGGAGGAGGTGCCACAGAGGCTGGAGGAGGTGCCACAGAGGCTGGAGAAGGTGCCACAGAGGCTGGAGGAGGTGCCACAGAGGCTGGAGGAGGTGCCACAGAGGCTGGAGGAGGTGCCACAGAGGCTGGAGGAGGTGCCACAGAGGCTGGAGGAGGTGCCACAGAGGCTGGAGGAGGTGCCACAGAGACTGGAGGAGGTGCCACAGAGGCTGGAGGAGGTGCCACAGAGACTGGAGGAGGTGCAGTCTCAGAGGTTAAAGAAGGAGGTCGCCGCAGACGCAGAGTCAAACTGCCGCAAAGATATAAATCCTTCAGTTTGGAGCCAGAGGAGGAAACAGAACCACAGAAGGTCTCCTCTCTCCTCCCTCTCCTCTCCTCCTCTCCTCCCCTCACCTCTCTCCTCTCTCTCCTCTCTCTCCTCTCTCTCCTCCTCCTGTGTATCTGTGTGGATGATGCTACAGTGTGTCTGTGTGCAGTGTGAGATCAATAAAGTGGTGTGTGTTTGATGTCAGGTGACCAGAGGAAGGAAGAGGAAACACCCCGATACTGAAGCCAAATGTGACCAGTGCCAGAAGGTTTTTAAGAATCATCTGTTTCTCAGAGTCCACCAGAGAACGCACACAGGTGAGACCCTTCAGCTGCTCAGTCAGTGTCCAGTCTCTACTAAAGCACGACCCTTCAGCTGCTCAGTATAACGTCTTTACTGTAGATCAGGCTATCGTGTGTTAGCAGGAGAACTCCCTACAGCTGTTCAGTAGCGTCTGTGTCCAGTGTCCACCACAGACAGATCCAACTCATGGTCTGTGTGTCTGTCTGTGTGTCTGTCTGTGTCTGTCTGTGTCTGTCTGTGTCTGTCTGTCTGTGTGTCTGTCTGTGTGTCTGTCTGTGTGTCTGTCTGTGTCTGTCTGTGTCTGTCTGTCTGTGTGTCTGTCTGTGTGTCTGTCTGTGTGTCTGTCTGTGTGTCTGTCTGTGTCTGTCTGTTAGTGTGTCTGTCTCTGTGTCTGTGTGTCTGTCTGTGTGTCTGTCTGTCTGTGTGTCTGTCTGTGTGTCTGTCTCTGTGTCTGTGTGTCTGTCTGTGTGTCTGTCTGTGTGTCTGTCTGTCTGTCTGTCTGTGTGTCTGTCTCTGTGTCTGTGTGTCTGTCTGTGTGTCTGTCTGTGTGTCTGTCTGTGTCTGTCTGTCTGTGTGTCTGTCTCTGTGTCTGTGTGTCTGTCTGTGTGTCTGTCTGTGTGTCTGTCTGTCTGTCTGTGTGTCTGTCTGTGTGTCTGTCTGTCTGTCTGTGTGTCTGTCTGTCTTCAGATTCAGTTTATTTGCCATTTGCAGTAAAAAAACCACATTGGAATACATTTGCAAAAGTCACCAGTGTGCACAGACAAATACAGACATAAAACAACATTAAGAGTCTGTCTGTCTGTGTGTGTGTGTGTGTGTCTGTAATCTGTATGTCTGTCTGTTTGTGTGGGTGTGTGTGTGTGTGTGTGTGTAATCTGTATGTCTGTCTGTTTGTGTGTTTGTGTGGGTGGGTGTGTGTGTGTGTGTGTCTGTCTGTCTGTGTGTATGTGTGGTGTGTCTGTCTGTCTGTCTGTGTGTGTCTGTAATCTGTATGTCTGTCTGTCTGTGTGTGTGTGTGTGTCTGTAATCTGTATGTCTGTATGTCTGTCTGTTTGTGTGTGTGTGTGTGTGTGTGTGTCTGTGTGTATGTGTGGTGTGTCTGTCTGTCTGTCTGTGTGTGTCTGTAATCTGTATGTCTGTCTGTCTGTGTGTGTGTGTGTCTGTAATCTGTATGTCTGTATGTCTGTCTGTCTGTGTGTGTGTGTGTGTTTGTGCGCGCGTGTCTGTCTGTCTGTGTGTGTGTGTGTCTGTAATCTGTATGTCTGTATGTCTGTCTGTCTGTGTGTGTGTGTGTGTGTGTTTGTGCGCGCGTGTCTGTCTGTCTGTGTGTGTGTGTGTGTGTGCAGTGATTGACCACAGAGAAACCTTTCAGCTGCTCAGTTGTATGTGTCCTCAGGGGAAAGGCCCTTCAGCTGCTCCCTGTGCTCCTCCAGCTTCTCTCAGAGACACAGCCTGGTCGTCCACCAGAGGGCGCACACCGGAGAGAAACCTTTCGTGTGTTCAGTCTGTGACAAAGCTCTGGTCACCAAGACCTCTCTGCGGGAGCACATGCAGCTGCACAGCGGTCAGACCAGGACCAGGACCAGGGCCAGGACCCAGACACAGACCTGGAGCTGAACCCTGACCCGGACCCATGACCAAGACCCAGACCATGACCCAGACCATGACCCAGACCAAGACCCAGACCATGACCCAGACCATGACCCAGACCATGACCCAGACCATGACCCAGAGCCATGACCCAGAGCCAGACCCAGAGCCAGACCCAGAGCCAGACCCAGAGCCAGACCCAGAGCCAGACCCCAGCCCAGACTCAGACCCAGACCAGACCCCAGACCAGACCAGACCCAGACTATGACCCAGACCATGACCCAGACCCCGACCTGGACTCAGACCCAGACCAGAACCCAGACCAGACCCAGACCCAGACCAGAACCCAGACCAGACCCAGACCCAGACCAGAACCCAGACCAGAACCCAGACCAGACCCAGACTATGACTCAGACCCAGACCTAAACCAGGACCCAGATCCAGATCCAGACCAGACATATTCACCTAAATTCCAGAATGTTCCAGCTTCATCTTCTGTTTTTACCTCAGACCAAAAGTCGTTTGTGTGCGACCAGTGCGAGCGCCGCTTCAGTCAGAAACGACAGCTCAAGAGTCATTACAGGATCCACACAGGTTTCGCTTTCACTTTTACTTTCACTTTCACAACAATCCAGTCGTCATGGTAACGTCTCTTCTCCCTCAGAAAAGTCACTGCCTGAATGTGCTCAGTGCAAACACAAGTTCCTGGACAAAGCACAACTCAAGAAACATCTGAGGACGCACAGCGGTGAGGAGAGAGGGGGAGGAGGAGGAGGAGGAGGAGAGGAGGAGGGAGGAGAGGAGGAGGACGAGAGGAGGGGAGGAGAGGAGGAGGGAGGAGAGGAGGAGGGAGGAGAGGAGGAGGACGAGAGAGGAGGAGGACGAGAGGAGGGGAGGAGAGGAGGAGGGAGGAGAGGAGGAGGACGAGAGGAGGAGGGAGGAGAGGAGGAGGACGAGAGGAGGAGGACGAGAGAGAGGGAGGAGAGGAGGGGGGAGGAGGAGGAGGAGGGAGGAGAGGAGGAGGACGAGAGGAGGAGGACGAGAGGAGGGGAGGAGAGGAGGAGGGAGGAGAGGAGAAGGAAGGAGGACGAGAGGAGGGGAGGAGAGGAGGAGGGAGGAGAGGAGAAGGGAGGAGAGGAGGAGGACGAGAGGAGGAGGACGAGAGGAGGGGAGGAGAGGAGGAGAGGAGAAGGAGGGGGAGAGGAGGAGGAGGAGGAGGTTAAACTTCTGTTTCTTTTTCTCTTCAGGAGAAAAACCGTTCACCTGCGAAATCTGCGGCAAATGTTTTAGCACCAAGACCACACTACAGACGCACATCCACATCCACAGGTGCTGCTACTGCTGCTACTGCTACTGCTGCTGCTACTGCTGCTACTGCTACTGCTACTGCTACTGCTACTGCTACTGCTACTGCTGCTGCTACTGCTGCTACTGCTACTGCTACTGCTACTGCTACTGCTACTGCTACTGCTACTGCTGCTGCTACTGCTACTGCTACTGCTGCTACTGCTACTGCTACTGCTACTGCTACTGCTACTGCTACTGCTGCTGCTACTGCTGCTGCTACTGCTACTGCTGCTGCTACTGCTGCTACTACTGCTGCTGCTACTGCTGCTGCTACTGCTGCTACTGCTACTGCTACTGCTACTGCTGCTGCTACTGCTGCTGCTGCTGCTGCTGCTGCTGCTGCTGCTGCTGCTACTGCTGCTACTGCTACTGCTGCTACTGCTACTGCTGCTACTGCTGCTGCTGCTACTGCTACTACTGCTACTGCTGCTACTGCTGCTGCTGCTGCTGCTACTGCTACTGCTGCTACTGCTACTGCTGCTACTGCTGCTGCTGCTACTGCTGCTACTGCTGCTGCTGCTACTGCTGCTACTGCTGCTGCTGCTACTGCTGCTACTGCTGCTGCTACTGCTGCTACTGCTACTGCTGCTGCTGCTACTACTGCTACTGCTGCTGCTGCTACTGCTGCTACTGCTACTGCTGCTACTGCTGCTGCTGATACTACTGCTACTACTGCTGCTACTGCTACTACTGCTGCTACTGCTGCTACTGCTGCTACTACTGCTGCACATGGTGCTGTGTTGTTTCTAGGGGGGAAAAGCCGTACTCGTGTCCTGTTTGTTGGAGGTCGTTCTCTGATCCCAGCGCTCGCCGTCGTCACGTCGCATCTCACTCCGGGAAGAAACCTTTCAGCTGCTCCTCCTGCGGTCTCGCCTTCACGCGATTGGACAACCTGAAGATACACGCCAAGACGCACGCCAAGGAAGCCCCACCCCTTGCTGAGGCCACGGCCACCACCGAGACCACGCCCACACCGGCGCACGAGGAACTCACCCTGCAGCCGTTCAGCAGTGATGACATCCAGCTGGTGGTGAGTGCGGAGAACTGCGGCCAGGACCCGAACGCCATCGCTCTGCTCACACACAGCCTGCCCACGCTCGGGCACCTGGCCAGCTTCACCAGTTTGACCAGTCTGACCAGTCTGACTAACGTAACCATAGTGACCGGGGATCCCAGCAGCCGCGCCTTAGAGCTGCCGGAACAGCTGCAAGTCATCACACTGAGCAGAGAGGCCATGGAACAGCTGCAAGGTCTGAACAGCGCGGAACCACAGAGAGGACAGAGCACTCAGACCACGAAGGCCGAGGCTGGAGGGCCTGCAAGGGCCTTCAGGGGACAGACCGAGGAACAGACCAGGGGACAGACCAGGGGACAGACTGAGGGACAGACTGAGGGACAGACCAGGGGACAGACTGAGGGACAGACCAGGGGACAGACCAGGGGACAGACCAGGGGACAGACTGAGGGACAGACCAGGGGACAGACCGAGGGACAGACTGAGGGACAGACCAGGGGACAGACCAGGGGACAGACTGAGGGACAGACCAGGGGACAGACCGAGGGACAGACTGAGGGACAGACCAGGGGACAGACCAGGGGACAGACCGGGGGACAGACCGAGGGACAGACCAGGGGACAGACTGAGGGACAGACCAGGGGACAGACCGAGGGACAGACTGAGGGACAGACCAGGGGACAGACCAGGGGACAGACCGGGGGACAGACCGAGGGACAGACCAGGGGACAGACTGAGGGACAGACCAGGGGACAGGCCGAGGGACAGACTGAGGGACAGACCAGGGGACAGACCGGGGGACAGACCGAGGGACAGACCAGGGGACAGACTGAGGGACAGACCAGGGGACAGGCCGAGGGACAGACTGAGGGACAGACCAGGGGACAGACCAGGGGACAGACCGAGGGACAGACCAGGGGACAGACTGAGGGACAGACTGAGGGACAGACTGAGGGACAGACTGAAAGACAGACTGAGGGACAGACCAGGGGACAGACCGAGGGACAGACCAGGGTACAGACTGAGAGACAGACTGACGTCTCACGCTCTCAGAGACAAACGTTTCAGATTCAGGCTGGAACTGTGTCGTACCTGTACACCACAGAACCACCGCACAACCCAGGACCCAGACCAGGACCAGCGCCAAGTCCAGGACCAGCGCCAAGTCCAGGACCAGCGCCAAGTCCAGGACCAGAGCCAAGTCCAGGACCAGAGCCAAGTCCAGGACCAGAGCCAAGTCCAGGACCAGAGCCAGGTCCAGAGCCAGAGCCAGGTCCAGGACCAGAGCCGAGCCGGGATCTTGTCACAAACTGAACTTCACGTTTAAAATGAGTTCAATATTTAAAGGGACAAATGTGTTTTTATGAAGTCTCTCTCTCTGGTCTCTCTCTGATTTTTCTCTGGCCTCTCTCCCTGGTCTCTCTCTCTGGTCACTCTGGTCTCCCTCCGGTCTTTCTCTGGTCTCTCCCTCTGGTCACTCTCTCTGGTCTTTCTTTGGTCTCTCTCTGGTCTCTTTCTCTGGTCTCACTCTGGTCTCACTCTCTGGTCTCTCTCTCTGGTCTTTCTTTGGTCTCTCTCTGGTCTCTCTCTCTGGTCTCTCTCTGGTCTCACTCTCTGGTCTCTCTCTCTGGTCTCACTCTGGTCTCACTCTCTGGTCTCTCTCTCTGGTCTCTCTCTCTGGTCTCTCTCTGGTCTCACTCTCTGGTCTCTCTCTCTGGTCTCACTCTGGTCTCACTCTCTGGTCTCTCTCTGGTCTCACTCTCTGGTCTCTCTCTGGTCTCCCTCTCTGGTCACTCTCTGGTCTCTCTCTGGTCTCTCTGGTCTCTCTGGTCTCTCTGGTCTCCCTCTCTGGTCTCCCTCTCTGGTCTCTCTCTGGTCTCCCTCTCTGGTCTCACTCTCTGGTCTCTCTCTGGTCTCTCTCTGGTCTCACTCTCTGATCTCTCTCTGGTCTCTCTCTGGGTCAGTTATGTGTATGTATAATAAAATAAACATTTGAATATTTTTGGATTAGAGTAATTTCTCTATGACTATCATAAAGCCACTGATAATGAGAGGCCCAAACTACAGGCTCTCAGCTCCACAGAGTCCAGAGGATCAGAGAGTGAGACATTTTGGCACTCCTGGAAGACCCATGGTTCTGTGTATATGAGGAGGATGTGAGAGCGAGCTGAAGCCAAACTACACAATGAGCACTTCCCTATTGGTGAGCTAGCACACACACACAACCACACACGTACACAGTTGCACACGCACACACACACACAACCACACACCCACACAGTCACACACACACACACAACCACACACGTACACACAGTCAGACATACACACACAGTCACACGTACACACACACACACGCACACAGACACACAATCTGACATGTGCCACAGCAATGGTAACTCGGGGACCTAGGGTCTCAGTCCTGGTCTCAGTCCTGGTCTCAGTCCTGGTCTCAGTCCTGGTCTCAGTCCTGGTCCCTGTGATAGGAGACACTCTCTGCTGCATAATTCATATGAAGAAGCGAAGTGTGACGTCTTCAAACTCCATCTGTGTCAGCAGCACTTCTGCAGAGACAATCCACCCTCCACAGTGTTGCTGTAGTTACTATAGTATACAGTATATAGCATCGTAAGCTACGTTTATACTCAACAAAAATACACACTTTTGTTTTTGCTCCCATTTTCCATGAGATGGGAAGATCTAAAATTCATTCCAGATCCACAATATTACCATTTCTCTCAAACATTGTCACAAATCTGTCTAACTGTGTGATGGTGAGCACTTCTGCTTTGCTGGCCATGGTGCTGGTAGGGTTATGGTATGGTCCATGGTATGGTCCATGGTGCTGGAAGGGTTATGGTTCTTGTGTAACCCCAAATATTACATGTTTTAAATGTTCGTAAACGGAGCGTTTCCGCATCCGTCCATTAGAGGGCGCTATTGTTTTTACTGTGAATGCTCCGCCATCTTGTGAGACGTTGGACATCATATGTGATGTGAGAAAAAACGATGTACAAAAGTATTTAAAAAACTTCTGAAATGTGTGATTAACAACTTGTTTTGGGTTCTTAGAGTTGATAATAACAGCAAGAGGTTCTGGAGACGAGGATTATTTCGTGTTCTTGATCTCCGGTGAGTCTGTTGCTAAGCTAAGCTAGTTTATGCTAAACTAGTCTATGCTAAGCTAGTTTATGCTAAGCTTGTCTATGCTAAGCTAGTTTATGCTAAGCTCGTCTATGCTAAGCTAGTTTATGCTAAGCTCGTCTATGCTAAGCTAGTTTATGCTAAGCTCGTCTATGCTAAGCTAGTTTATGCTAAGCTCGTCTATGCTAAGCTAGTTTATGCTAAGCTAGTTTATGCTAAACTAGTCTATGCTAAGCTAGTTTATGCTAAGCTCGTCTATGCTAAGCTAGTTTATGCTAAACTCGTCTATGCTAAGCTAGTTTATGCTAAGCTCGTCTATGCTAAGCTAGTTTATGCTAAGCTCGTCTATGCTAAGCTAGTTTATGCTAAGCTCGTCTATGCTAAGCTAGTTTATGCTAAGCTCGTCTATGCTAAGCTAGTTTATGCTAAGCTTGTCTATGCTAAGCTAGTTTATGCTAAACTCGTCTATGCTAAGCTAGTTTATGACACTGCATTTTCTTTTGACATGATATCATGATTATTTCTTTAAAAACTAATCTGAGAAAATGTGAAACTGTTTACAGGCTTCCTCATCTGGTGTTAGCGTTAGCATCGTTAGCATTGTTAGCATCGTTAGCAGCAGATAAGTTAACGTTCCCATTCATATAGCTAATACCAGCAGAACCAAACCACACGAGGCTTGAACTGACCATTGTTGTTCATGGAAAGTATTTAATTTATTCCACATTCTGTGATTTAGAAACCTTATGCCAAATCTTATTTAAATGGTCTTGAGTTAAATCTGCGCTCCGTAACTTTTGTAACACTTGGAGTTTGTCCTCTGGTCTCTCTCTGGTCTCTCTCTGGTCTCTCTCTGGTCTCTCTGGTCTCTCTCTGGTCTCTCTCTGGTCTCTCTCTGGTCCCTCTCTGGTCTCTCTCTGGTCTCTCTCTGGTCCCTCTCTGGTCTCTCTCTGGTCTCTCTCTCTGGTCCCTCTCTGGTCTCTCTCTCTGGTCCCTCTCTGGTCTCTCTCTGGTCTCTCTCTGGTCTCTCTCTGGTCCCTCTCTGGTCTCTCTCTGGTCTCTCTCTGGTCTCTCTCTGGTCTCTCTCTGGTCTCTCTCTGGTCTCTCTCTGGTCTCTCTCTGGTCCCTCTCTGGTCCCTCTCTGGTCTCTCTCTGGTCTCTCTCTCTGGTCTCTCTCTGGCCTCTCTCTGGTTTCTCTCTGGTCTCTCTCTCTGGTCTCTCTGCTCTGGTCTCTCTTCCCTGGTCTCTCTTCTCTGGTCTCTCTCTCTCGGTGGTCTCTCTCTCTGTGGTCTCTCTCTCTGTGGTCTCTCTCTCTGGTCTCTCTCTCTGTGGTCTCTCTCTCTGGTCTCTCTCTCTGGTCTCTCTCTCTGGTCTCTCTCGCTGGTCTCTCTCTCTGGTCTCTCTCTCTCGGTGGTCTCTCTCTCTGGTCTCTCTCTCTCTGTGGTCTCTCTCTCTCGGTGGTCTCTCTCTCTCTGGTCTCTCTCTCTGGTCTCTCTCTCTGGTCTCTCTCGCTGGTCTCTCTCTCTGGCATCTTTCTGGTGTTTCCATTGTCTTGAGGCTGCCTCCTCTTCCTCACTGGTCCCTGTGTGTCCAGAGTTTCTCCTCTTCCTCACTGGTCCCTGTGTGTCCCATAGTTCCTCTTCCTCACTGGTCCCTGTGTGTCCCATAGTTCCTCTTCCTCACTGGTCCCTGTGTGTCCCATAGTTCCTCTTCCTCACTGGTCCGTGTGTGTCCATAGTTCCTCCTCTTCCTCACTGGTCCGTGTGTGCCCATAGTTCCTCCTCTTCCTCACTGGTCCGTGTGTGTCCATAGTTCCTCCTCTTCCTCACTGGTCCGTGTGTGTCCATAGTCCCTCCTCTTCCTCACTGGTCCGTGTCACATAGTTCCTGAGGACCATGGAGGACGGGGGCAGAGCACAGAGGAAGATGTCGACTGCAGGAGAGAGTCTATACCGAGCTCTGGGTCTGGAGAAGGGAGCGACTCCAGAGCAGATCAAGAAGGCCTACAGGTGTGTCATTCACACCGAGCACAAACACACAGGCCTACAGGTGTGTCTCATTCACACCGAGCACAAACACACAGGCCTACAGGTGTGTCTCATTCACACCGAGCACACACACACAGGCCTACAGGTGTGTCTCATTCACACCGAGCACAAACACACAGGCCTACAGGTGTGTCTCATTCACACCGAGCACAAACACACAGGCCTACAGGTGTGTCTCATTCACACCGAGCACAAACACACAGGCCTACAGGTGTGTCTCATTCACACCGAGCACAAACACACAGGCCTACAGGTGTGTCTCATTCACACCGAGCACAAACACACAGGCCTACAGGTGTGTCTCATTCACACCGAGCACAAACACACAGGCCTACAGGTGTGTCTCATTCACACCGAGCACAAACACACAGGCCTACAGGTGTGTCTCATTCACACCGAGCACAAACACACAGGCCTACAGGTGTGTCTCATTCACACCGAGCACAAACACACAGGCCTACAGGTGTGTCTCATTCACACCGAGCACAAACACACAGGCCTACAGGTGTGTCTCATTCACACCGAGCACAAACACACAGGCCTACAGGTGTGTCTCATTCACACCGAGCACAAACACACAGGCCTACAGGTGTGTCTCATTCACACCGAGCACAAACACACAGGCCTACAGGTGTGTCTCATTCACACCGAGCACAAACACACAGGCCTACAGGTGTGTCTCATTCACACCGAGCACAAACACACAGGCCTACAGGTGTGTCTCATTCACACCGAGCACAAACACACAGGCCTACAGGTGTGTCTCATTCACACCGAGCACAAACACACAGGCCTACAGGTGTGTCTCATTCACACCGAGCACAAACACACAGGCCTACAGGTGTGTCTCATTCACACCGAGCACTAACACACAGGTCTACAGGTGTCTCATTCACACCGAGCACTAACACACAGGCCTGCAGGTGTGTCTCATTCACACCGAGCACTAACACACAGGCCTACAGGTGTGTCTCATTCACACCGAGCACTAACACACAGGCCTACAGGTGTGTCTCATTCACACCGAGCACAAACACACAGGCCTACAGGTGTGTCTCATTCACACCGAGCACAAACACACAGGCCTACAGGTGTGTCTCATTCACACCGAGCACAAACACACAGGCCTACAGGTGTGTCTCATTCACACCGAGCACAAACACACAGGCCTACAGGTGTGTCTCATTCACACCGAGCACACACAAACAGGCCTACAGGTGTGTCTCATTCACACCGAGCACACACAAACAGGCCTACAGGTGTGTCTCATTCACACCGAGCACACACAAACAGGCCTACAGGTGTGTCTCATTCACACCTGTCTATTGTGTCTGTCTATTGTGTCTGTCTGGTGTCTGTCTAGTGTCTGTCTAGTGTCTGTCTAGTGTCTGTCTAATGTCTGTCTGGTGTCTGTCTGGTGTCTGTCTAGTGTCTGTCTAGTGTCTGTCTGGTGTCTGTCTGGTGTCTGTCTAGTGTCTGTCTGGTGTCTGTCTAGTGTCTGTCTAGTGTCTGTCTAGTGTCTGTCTAGTGTCTGGTGTCTGTCTGGTGTCTGTCTGGTGTCTGTCTAGTGTCTGTCTAGTGTCTGTCTAGTGTCTGTCTAGTGTCTGTCTAGTGTCTGTCTAGTGTCTGTCTGGTGTCTGTCTGGTGTCTGTCTGGTGTCTGTCTAGTGTCTGTCTAGTGTCTGTCTGGTGTCTGTCTAGTGTCTGTCTGGTGTCTGTCTGGTGTCTGTCTGGTGTCTGTCTGGTGTCTGTCTAGTGTCTGTCTAGTGTCTGTCTGGTGTCTGTCTGGTGTCTGTCTGGTGTCTGTCTAGTGTCTGTCTAGTGTCTGTCTGGTGTCTGTCTGGTGTCTGTCTGGTGTCTGTCTAGTGTCTGTCTAGTGTCTGTCTGGTGTCTGTCTAGTGTCTGTCTGGTGTCTGTCTAGTGTCTGTCTGGTGTCTGTCTAGTGTCTGTCTGGTGTCTGTCTAGTGTCTGTCTGGTGTCTGTCTAGTGTCTGTCTAGTGTCTGTCTGGTGTCTGTCTGGTGTCTGTCTGGTGTCTGTCTAGTGTCTGTCTGGTGTCTGTCTAGTGTCTGTCTGGTGTCTGTCTGGTGTCTGTCTAGTGTCTGTCTGGTGTCTGTCTAGTGTCTGTCTGGTGTCTGTCTAGTGTCTGTCTGGTGTCTGTCTAGTGTCTGTCTGGTGTCTGTCTGGTGTCTGTCTGGTGTCTGTCTGGTGTCTGTCTGGTGTCTGTCTAGTGTCTGTCTGGTGTCTGTCTAGTGTCTGTCTAGTGTCTGTCTAGTGTCTGTCTGGTGTCTGTCTAGTGTCTGTCTAGTGTCTGTCTAGTGTCTGTCTAGTGTCTGTCTGGTGTCTGTCTGGTGTCTGTCTGGTGTGCTATTGGGCTTTACTGAGCTAGCAGTTTAGCATTTAGCTAGCGGGTTAGCACCAAGCCCCGGCGATCCAAGATGGCGCCCTATTCAAATGAATGGTTGTGCTCAGTGGCGCTTTGTGACGGCATGGGGGCTGAAATATTAGTGGAAGTCGCCTGGAACTCTCAAAGATCTATGGGAAACTCTCAAAGATCTATGGGAAACTCTCAAAGATCTATGGGAAACTCTCAAAGATCTATGGGAAACTCTCAAAGATCTATGGGAAACTCTCAAAGATCTATGGGAAACTCTCCTGTATTTGGGCATCGTCTGGTCCTCCCGGTTCTGTGCAGTGGATGATCTCCCATAATGCATTGCCCCAAACACGCGTGTGTGGGTCTCACGCACTTGCACAGAGGGGCTCGGCCGCGCTCTGACCAATCAGAGCAGTTCATCAGAGCGGGAGTTAGAGCGAGAGCCAGAGAGCAGAGTTTGTGGCACTAAAGTGTGGATTTAAACAAAACCGAAGGATTTAAGAAGAAAAAAAGTTCAGGATGACAAGGATACTAAAATCTGTAAAGCTGTAGGTTCTCTGTCAGGTTCTCTGTCAGGTTCTCTGTCAGCTGAGGTTGAGCTGTTTTAATATGCATTGAGTTCTACGGGAAAATTTCTGGGTAGCCCACGTGAATTTAGTCTGGTTCAGTCTGGTTCAGTCTGCAGTACCGCGAGAATCCCCTGAGCACGTGAGTTATTCAGCTACAAGCTAGTAATACCCTATCCAGTTAATATAATAGATCCATGGTTAGCACTGCCCTTCTCTTTAGTTTGATTTCAGCACAGGACCTGTGTGTGATGCTTGTCGTACGTTTGTTTTCAGGAAGTTGGCTCTGCGACATCACCCAGACAAGAACCCTGATAACCCCGCTGCCGCCGACAAGTTCAAGGAGATTAACAACGCCAACACCATCCTCAGCGACGAGACCAAGAGGAAGATCTACGACGAGTACGGATCCATGGGCCTCTACGTCTCTGAGCAGGTCGGAGAGGACAGCGTCAAGTACTACTTCCTCATGTCCAAGTGCTGGTTCAAGGTGAGGGGGAGTGAGGAGGAGTGAGGGGGGGGTGTGGAGGAGTGAGGGGGGGGGGGGGGGGTGTGGAGGAGTGAGGGGGGGGGGGGTGAGGAGGAGTGAGGAGAGGGTGAGGAGGGGTGAGGAGACCAGGTGTTATGTGAGGTCCACAGGTGTAATGTGAGGTCCACAGGTGTGACACAGGTGTAATGTGAGGTCCACAGGTGTGACACAGGTGTAATGGGAGGTCCACAGGTGTGACACAGGTGTAATGGGAGGTCCACAGGTGTGACACAGGTGTAATGGGAGGTCCACAGGTGTGACACAGGTGTAATGGGAGGTCCACAGGTGTGACACAGGTGTAATGGGAGGTCCACAGGTGTGACACAGGTGTAATGGGAGGTCCACAGGTGTGACACAGGTGTAATGGGAGGTCCACAGGTGTGACACAGGTGTAATGGGAGGTCCACAGGTGTGACACAGGTGTAATGGGAGGTCCACAGGTGTGACACAGGTGTAATGGGAGGTCCACAGGTGTTACACAGGTGTAATGGGAGGTCCACAGGTGTGACACAGGTGTAATGGGAGGTCCACAGGTGTTACACAGGTGTAATGGGAGGTCCACAGGTGTAATGTGAGGTCCACAGGTGTAATGTGAGGTCCACAGGTGTAATGGGAGGGCCACAGGTGTTACGCAGGTGTAATGGGAGGTCCACAGGTGTGCCACAGGTGTAATGTGAGGTCCACAGGTGTAATGTGAGGTCCACAGGTGTTACACAGGTGTAATGTGAGGTCCACAGGTGTTACACAGGTGTAATGTGAGGTCCACAGGTGTAATGTGAGGTCCACAGGTGTAATGGGAGGGCCACAGGTGTTACACAGGTGTAATGGGAGGTCCACAGGTATGACACAGGTGTAATGGGAGGTACACAGGTGTGACACAGGTGTAATGGGAGGTACACAGGTGTAATGTGAGGTACACAGGTGTGACACAGGTGTAATGGGAGGTCCACAGGTGTGACACAGGTGTAATGGGAGGTCCACAGGTGTTACACAGGTGTAATGGGAGGTCCACAGGTGTGACACAGGTGTAATGTGAGGTCCACAGGTGTTACACAGGTGTAATGGGAGGTCCACAGGTGTGACACAGGTGTAATGTGAGGTCCACAGGTGTGACACAGGTGTAATGGGAGGTCCACAGGTGTTACACAGGTGTAATGGGAGGTCCACAGGTGTGACACAGGTGTAATGTGAGGTCCACAGGTGTGACACAGGTGTAATGTGAGGTCCACAGGTGTTACACAGGTGTAATGGGAGGTCCACAGGTGTGACACAGGTGTAATGGGAGGTCTTGTGTCCAGTCCCTGGTGGTCTGTGTCTCCATCTTCACTTGCTGCTGCTGTTTCTGCTGTTGCTGTTTCTGCTGCGGGAGGTGTGGCCCCAAAGACGAAGAGAAGTTTGAGTACGTCGACCCGGAGCACCTGGAGGAACAACTGAGGCAGCAAGAAGGTGAGCACCCGGAGCACCTGGAGGAACCTCTGAGGCAGCAAGAAGTTCCTACTGCTCACTTACAGGAGCTCTGTCCCGCTCTGACAGACTGTGACATCACAGCTGCTCTCTGGGGGAGGGGCAAGAGGTCTCTCCCTTTCTCTCTGGTCTCTCTCTCTGTTCTCTCACTGGTCTCTCTCTCTATGGTCTCTGTCAGGTCTCACTGTCTGGTGTCTCTCTCCTCTCTCTGGTCTCTCTCTCGCTCTGGTCTCTCTGTCTGATGTCTCTCTCCCACTCTCTTTCTGGTCTCTCTCTCTCTGGTGTCTTTCTCCCTCTCTTTCTGGTCTCTCTCTCCCTCTCTTTCTGGTCTCTCCTTCTGGTCTCTCTCTGGTCGTCAGTTTTTTTTTTCTAAAACAGTAAATGTTGATTATTTCACAGCTGAAGAAGAGTCTGTTGTAAACACTCAACCAAATTCTGAGGCCACAGGTAAACGACTGAGCTGCTAACACTAACAAGTGCCGGCTAACGCTAACGAGTGCCGGCTAACGCTAACGAGTGCCGGCTAGCGCTAACAAGTGCTGGCTAACGCTAACGAGTGCCGGCTAACGCTAACGAGTGCCGGCTAACGCTAACGAGTGCCGGCTAACGCTAACGAGTGCCGGCTAACCGCTAATGACTGAAGGCTAATGCTAAGAAGTGAAGGTTAACGTTGCTTCACAATCCCCGCTCTAACACTGGTCACATTTCTTCTAACCTCACATAATCTGGGTTTTGACCACAGTTTATGGTCACTGTGGTCTATGGTCACTATGGTCACTGTGGTCTATGGTCACTGTGGTCACTGTGGTCTATGGTCACTGTGGTCACTGTGGTCTGTAGTCACTGTGGTCTGTGGTCACTGTGGTCTGTGGTCACTGTGGTCTATGGTCACTGTGGTCTATGGTCACTGTGGTCTGTAGTCACTGTGGTCTGTGGTCACTGTGGTCTGTGGTCACTGTGGTCTATGGTCACTGTGGTCTATGGTCACTGTGGTCTGTAGTCACTGTGGTCTGTGGTCACTGTGGTCTGTGGTCACTGTGGTCTGTGGTCACTATGGTCTATGGTCACTATGGTCTATGGTCACTATGGTCACTGTGGTCTATGGTCATGGTCACTGTGGTCTATGGTCACTGTGGTCACTGTGGTCTGGTCACTGTGGTCTGTGGTCACTGTGGTCTGTGGTCACTATGGTCTATGGTCACTGTGGTCACTGTGGTCTGTGGTCACTGTGGTCTATGGTCACTGTGGTCTGTGGTCACTATGGTCTGTGGTCACTGTGGTCTATGGTCACTGTGGTCTGTGGTCACTATGGTCTATGGTCACTGTGGTCTGTGGTCACTGTGGTCTATGGTCACTGTGGTCTGTAGTCACTGTGGTCTGTGGTCACTGTGGTCTATGGTCACTATGGTCTATGGTCACTGTGGTCTGTGGTCACTATGGTCTATGGTCACTGTGGTCTGTGGTCACTGTGGTCTGTGGTCACTGTGGTCTATGGTCACTATGGTCACTATGGTCTATGGTCACTGTGGTCTATGGTCACTATGGTCTATGGTCACTGTGGTCTGTGGTCACTGTGGTCTGTGGTCACTGTGGTCTATGGTCACTGTGGTCTGTGGTCACTGTGGTCTGTGGTCACTGTGGTCTGTGGTCACTGTGGTCTGTGGTCACTGTGGTCTATGGTCACTGTGGTCACTGTGGTCTATGGTCACTGTGGTCTATGGTCACTGTGGTCTGTGGTCACTGTGGTCTATGGTCACTGTGGTCTGTGGTCACTGTGGTCTGTGGTCTATGGTCACTGTGGTCTATGGTCACTGTGGTCTATGGTCCCTGTGGTCTGTGGTCACTGTGGTCTGTGGTCACTGTGGTCACTGTGGTCTATGGTCACTGTGGTTTGTAGTCACTGTGGTCTGTGGTCACTGTGGTCTATGGTCCCTGTGGTCTGTGTGGTCACTGTGGTCTATGGTCACTGTGGTCTATGGTCACTGTGGTCTATGGTCACTGTGGTCTGTGGTCACTGTGGTCACTGTGGTCTATGGTCACTGTGGTTTGTAGTCACTGTGGTCTGTGGTCACTGTGGTCTATGGTCCCTGTGGTCTGTGGTCACTGTGGTCTATGGTCACTGTGGTCTATGGTCACTGTGGTCTGTGGTCACTGTGGTCTGTGGTCTATGGTCACTGTGGTCTATGGTCACTGTGGTCTATGGTCACTGTGGTCTGTAGTCACTGTGGTCTGTGGTCACTGTGGTCTATGGTCACTGTGGTCTGTGGTCACTATGGTCTATGGTCACTGTGGTCTGTAGTCACTGTGGTCTGTGGTCACTATGGTCTATGGTCCCTGTGGTCTGTGGTCACTGTGGTCTATGGTCACTGTGGTCTATGGTCCCTGTGGTCTCTGTGGTCACTGTGGTCTATGGTCACTGTGGTCACTGTGGTCTATGGTCACTGTGGTCTATGGTCACTGTGGTCTATGGTCACTATGGTCTATGGTCCCTGTGGTCTCTGTGGTCACTGTGGTCTATGGTCACTGGTCTATGGTCACTGTGGTCTATGGTCACTATGGTCTATGGTCACTGTGGTCTATGGTCTATGGTCACTATGGTCTATGGTCACTGTGGTCTATGGTCACTATGGTCTATGGTCACTGTGGTCTATGGTCTATGGTCACTGTGGTCTATGGTCACTGTGGTCTATGGTCACTGTCTATGGTCACTATGGTCTATGGTCACTGTGGTCTATGGTTATGGTCACTGTGGTCTATGGTCACTGTGGTCTATGGTCACTATGGTCTATGGTCACTGTGGTCTATGGTCTATGGTCACTATGGTCTATGGTCACTGTGGTCTATGGTCACTATGGTCTATGGTCACTGTGGTCTATGGTCTATGGTCACTGTGGTCTATGGTCACTGTGGTCTATGGTCACTGTGGTCTGTGGTCACTATGGTCTATGGTCACTGTGGTCTATGGTCACTGTGGTCTATGGTCACTATGGTCTATGGTCACTGTGGTCTATGGTCACTGTGGTCTATGGTCACTATGGTCTATGGTCACTGTGGTCTATGGTCACTATGGTCTATGGTCACTGTGGTCTATGGTCACTGTGGTCTATGGTCACTATGGTCTATGGTCACTGTGGTCTATGGTCACTGTGGTCACTATGGTCTATGGTCACTGTGGTCTATGGTCACTATGGTCTATGGTCACTATGGTCTATGGTCACTGGTCTATGGTCTATGGTCACTGTGGTCTATGGTCACTGTGGTCTATGGTCTATGGTCACTATGGTCTATGGTCACTGGTCTATGGTCTATGGTCACTGTGGTCTATGGTCTATGGTCACTATGGTCTATGGTCTATGGTCACTATGGTCTATGGTCACTGGTCTATGGTCTATGGTCACTGTGGTCTATGGTCACTGTGGTCTATGGTCTATGGTCACTATGGTCTATGGTCACTGTGGTCTATGGTCTATGGTCACTATGGTCTATGGTCACTGTGGTCTATGGTCACTGTGGTCTATGGTCACTGTGGTCTATGGTCTATGGTCACTATGGTCTATGGTCACTGTGGTCTATGGTCACTGTGGTCTATGGTCTATGGTCACTGTGGTCTATGGTCTATGGTCACTGTGGTCTATGGTCACTATGGTCTCTCTTTGGTCTCTCTCTGGTCTCTCTCTCTGGTCTCTCTCTGGTCTCTCTCTCACGCTCTCTCTTTGTTTGACAGGTGAAAACAGTCCAATTGTGATCCAACCTCAATCTGCAAACGGCTCCGGCCCCAGCGCCCCCAGTGGCCCCCCCAGTGGCCCCCCCATTATTGCTCTGCCAGATAAATGACCCCTCATCCCCCCCTCCCTCTCCTCCCTCTCCCCCCTCCCGGGTTTTAAAAGGACCAAAGGTTTGGACTGACCATGGCTCCATTGGGCCCAGCACTGACCCCTGTGGCCCCCCAGGCTAAAGTCTACATACGCCCACTTCCTCCTCAGTCACTGTAGCTCCGCCCACACTGACACCAGGACCCTCCCCTCACAGAACTATGGCCTTCTACACGGAGCTCTAGAGCCTTTTCTGGCTTTTTAAACTCATGCGTCGTCTCCGAGTGAGTTCTGAGCGTATGTTCTAAAACAGTCTTTGATCTTTAACACTTTTTATCAGATAAACCTATCACTTATTTTAAATCATTTTAGAGCTGAGCAATTTACTGATGTTAAATTGGGTGTGCCTGTAAACAGATGGACAATGCTAGCCTGCTAGCTCAACGCTAACCCACTAGCTCAGTGACGTTAGTGTGACATCATCGTTTTGGGCTTGAGTCTGTGGTTTCTCTGAGATTCTGTGTTTTTATGTGATCCTGTAAATCCACATATGACCAAATAAGGACTGGCCAATCAGAGGCCTTCATTCATTTGGGGGTAAAACTCCAGTTTGCCTTAGTAACTGGCACAGGCCTCCCTCCTGACCGGGGGACACAGGCCTCCCCCCCTCCCTCCTGACCGGGGGACACAGGCCGCCCCCCCGCCCTCCTGACCGGGGGACACCGGCCACCCCCCTCCCTCCTGACCGGGGGACACCGGCCTCCCCCCTCCCTCCTGACCAGGGGACACAGGCCACCCCCCCCCTCCTCTGACCGGGGGACACAGGCCTCCCCCCTCCCTCCTGACCGGGGGACACAGGCCACCCCCCTCCCTCCTGACCGGGGGACACAGGCCTCCCCCCTCCCTCCTGACCGGGGGACACAGGCCTCCCCCCTCCCTCCTGACCAGGGGACACAGGCCTCCCCCCTCCCTCCTGACCGGGGGACACCGGCCTCCCCCTCCCTCCTGACCGGGGGACACCGGCCTCCCCCCCCCTCCTGACCAGGGGACACCGGCCTCCCCCCCCCTCCCTCCTGACCGGGGGACACCGGCCTCCCCCCTCCCTCCTGACCAGGGGACACCGGCCTCCCCCCCCCTCCCTCCTGACCGGGGGACACAGGCCTCCCCCTCCCTCCTGACCAGGGGACACCGGCCCCCCCCCCCCCCTCCCTCCTGACCAGGGACACAGCCCCCCCTCGTTTACAAGCCGCTCTGAATGTGCCATTATATAATTCATGAATAATCTTTGATGTTGGGGAAATGGAAAAAACCAGTTTGTTTTGCACTTTATCTGATGGTTTTAAAGCACTTTGACTTTATGCAAATGACAACATGGAAACATAATAAAGATTTACATACGCACAGACTCTCAGGCCTCCCTCTGCTCTCCCTCTGCTCTCTGGTTTCTTGTCTCTCTCTGCTCTCTCTCTGCTCTCTCTGGTCTCTCTCTCTGGTCTCTCTCTCTCTGGTCTCTCTCTCTGGTCTCTCTCTCTCTGGTCTCTCTCTGGTCTCTCTCTCTGGTCTCTCTCTCTCTGGTCTCTCTCTCTGGTCTCTTTGGTCTCTCTCTGGTCTCTTTGGTCTCTCTCTCTCTGGTCTCTCTCTCTGGTCTCTTTGGTCTCTCTCTGGTCTCTCTTGTATCTCTCTGGTATCTCTCTCTGGTCTCTCTGGTCTCAAAGGGAACTGAACACATCTGCACTGGGTTAATATTTATCTGTATATTTTGAATAAAGAACAAAAATACATTGTACCTGTTGTTATTAAATTTTTATTCTAATCCAACTGAACAGTGTTTTAATTTCACAGTGCCACAAAATGTATATACTGTATAGACAAATGTCTCTGGTCCCTCTCTGGTCTCTCTCTCTCTGGTCTCTCTCTGGTCTCTCTCTGGTCTTTCTCTGCTCTCTCTCTGCTCTCTTGTCTCTCTCTGGTCTCTCTCTCTGGTCTCTCTTGTCTCTCTCTGGTCTCTCTCTCTGGTCTCTCTTGTCTCTCTCTGGTCTCTCTGGTCTCTCTTGTATCTCTCTGGTCTCTCTCTCTGGTCTCTCTCTCTGGTCTCCCTCTGGTCTCTCCCTGGTCTCCCTCTGGTCTCCCTCTGGTGTCTCTCTCTGGTCTCCCTCTACTCTTCCTCTGGTCTCTCTCTCTGGTCTCTCTCTGGTATCTCTCTCTGGTATCTCTCTCTGGTCTCTCTCTCTGGTCTCTCTCTCTGGTCTCTCTCTCTGGTCTCTCTCTCTGGTCTCTCTCTGATCTCTCTGGTCTCTCTCTCTGGTATCTCTCTCTGGTCTCTTTGGTCTCTCTCTGGTCTCTCTTGTATCTCTTTGGTCTCTGATCTCTCTGGTCTCTCTCTCTGGTATCTCTCTCTGGTCTCTTTGGTCTCTCTCTGGTCTCTCTCTGGTCTCTCTTGTATCTCTTTGGTCTCTCTCTGGTCTCAAAGGGAACTGAACACATCTGCACTGGGTTAATATTTATCTGTATATTTTGAATAAAGAACTAAAATACATTGTACCGTATGGACGAACACTCGGGCTGCTTTTCTTCAGCAGGGACAGGAAAGAGGGAAGCTCTCAACTGATGTGAAGGGGCCAGAATGGGGCTGATTCTGGTCCTGGTCCTGGTCCGGGTCCTAGTCCTGGTCCTGGTCTAGTATTTCCTCTTTGTCAGTGTCTAACAGAGAGTTTTGAAAGTCAAATTATTTCCTCTTAAATGTTTGATCATTTGCATCAACGGCTTCAGTTTATGAGCTGCAGGTGTGACTGAAAGACCAAGACCAGGACCAGCATCAAGACCAGGACCAGCATCAGGATCAGCACCGGGACCAGGACCAGCATCAGGACCAACACCAGGACCAGCATCAAGACCAGGACCAGGACCGCCCTCAGGTAGTACTTCTAGGCAGTTCCTGTAGACCAGGGCCTTTCTGAGTGGAGTTTGCATGTTCTCCCCGTGTCTGCGTAGGTTTCCTCCGGGTACTCCGGTTTCCCCTACCACTAAAAATATGTCCAATACTTCTAGCATGCGCCTCCTGTTCGGCGACCCCGCTCCCATCTCTGTGTGGAGTGAGAGACAAATGCCCATAATTAACAATTGTAAACCGCTTTGAGACTCAGATCTGCAGTGAAAAGACGGTATATAAATAAAGATTACTAAAATAAAGATTACTACTGTAGAGCAGAGGAGCAGAGGTGCAGAGGAGCAGAGGTGCAGAGGAGCAACGCTGGTGGAAACAGGATAAAGTCTGATGTCTGTAGATATGAATATTTCACTCGAACTGTTTAAACGTCCGTAATATTACAACGGAATATGTGACACCGTCTCTCTCTCTGGTGTCTCTCTGGTCTCTCTCTGGTCTCTCTCTCTGGTCTCTCTGGTCTCTCTCTCTGGTCTCTCTCTGGTCTCTCTCTGGTCTCTCTCGCTGGTCTCTCTCTCTGGTCTCTCTCTCTGGTTCTCTCTCTCTGGTCTCTCTCTCGTGTCTCTCTCTGGTCTCTCTCTCTGGTCTCTCTCTCTGGTCTCTCTGGTCTCTGGTCTCTCTCTGGTCTCTCTCTGGTCTCTCTCTGGTCTCTCTCTCTGGTCTCTCTCTCTCTGGTCTCTCTCTCGTGTCTCTCTCTGGTCTCTCTCTCTGGTCTCTCTCTCGTGTCTCTCTCTGGTCTCTCTCTCTGGTCTCTCTCTCTGGTCTCTCTCTCTGGTGGTCTCTCTCTCTGGTCTCTCTATGATCTCTCTCTGGTCTCTCTCTATGGTCTCTCTCTCTGGTCTCTCTCTGTCTCTCTCTCTGGTCTCTCTCTGGTCTCTCTCTGGTCTCTCTCTATGGTCTCTCTCTATGGTCTCTCTCTCTGGTCTCTCTCTGGTCTCTCTCTGGTCTCTCTCTGGTCTCTCTCTGGTCTCTCTCTGGTCTCTCTCTATGGTCTCTCTCTCTGGTCTCTCTCTGGTCTCTCTCTCTGGTCTCTCTCTGGTCTCTCTCTGGTCTCTCTCTGGTCTCTCTATGGTCTCTCTGTCTGGTCTCTCTCTGGTCTCTCTCTGGTCTCTCTCTGGTCTCTCTCTGGTCTCTCTCTGGTCTCTCTCTCTGGTCTCTCTCTCTGGTCTCTCTCTCTGGTCTCTCTCTCTGGTCTCTCTGGTCTCTCTCTCTGGTCTCTCTCTCTGGTCTCTCTCTGGCCTCTCTCTGGTCTCTCTCTCTGGTCTCTCTCTGATCTCTCTCTCTCTGGTCTCTCTCTCTGGTCTCTCTCTCTGGTCTCTCTCTCTCTCTCTGGTCTTCTCTCTGGTCTCTCTCTCTCTCTGGTCTTCTCTGGTGTCTCTCTCTGGTCTCTCTCTGGTCTCTCTCTCTGGTCTCTCTCTCTGGTCTCTCTCTCTGGTCTCTCTCTCTGGTCTCTCTCTCTGGTCTCTCTCTCTGGTCTCTCTCTGGTCTCTCTCTGGTCTCTCTCTGGTCTCTCTCTCTCTAGCTTCCTCACTGCATGGACCATGGACTACCTCACTGCATGGACCATCAACTACCTCACTGCATGGACCATCAACTACCTCACTGCATGGACCATCAACTACCTCACTGCATGGACCATCAACTACCTCACTGCATGGACCATCAACTACCTCACTGCATGGACCATGGACTACCTCACTGCATGGACCATCAACTACCTCACTGCATGGACCATGGACTACCTCACTGCATGGACCATCAGCTACCTCACTGCATGGACCATCAACTACCTCACTGCATGGACCATCAACTACCTCACTGCATGGACCATCAACTACCTCACTGCAGGACCATCAACTACCTCACTGCATGGACCATCAACTACCTCACTGCATGGACCATCAACTACCTCACTGCATGGACCATCAACTACCTCACTGCATGGACCATCAACTACCTCACTGCATGGACCATCAACTACCTCACTGCATGGACCATCAACTACCTCACTGCATGGACCATCAACTACCTCACTGCATGGACCATCAACTACCTCACTGCATGGACCATCAGCTACCTCACTGCATGGACCATCAGCTACCTCACTGCATGGACCATCAGCTACCTCACTGCATGGACCATCAGCTACCTCACTGCATGGACCATCAGCTACCTCACTGCATGGACCATCAACTACCTCACTGCATGGACCATCAACTACCTCACTGCATGGACCATCAGCTACCTCACTGCATGGACCATGGACTACCTCTCAGAGCGACCACAGTACGTGCGGCTGCAGCTGTGAGTCTGAGGTGGTCGTCTGCAGCACTGGGGCCCCTCAGGGCACTGTCCTCTCACCGTTTCTCTTCACCATCTACACCTCAGACTTCACACACGACACACACAGCTGTCACCTGCAGAAGTTCTCCGACGACTCCGCCATCGTGGGCTGTGTGTCTGAGGGGAACGAACTGGAATATCGGTCGGTTATCAAGGACTTTGTCGACTGGTGTGAGCGCAACCACTTGTGCTTGAACACCAGTAAGACCAAGGAGATGATCATGGACTTCAGGAGAAAACCACTTTCCCACACGCTGCTGAACATCCAGGGGGAGGACATTGAGCTGGTGGACAGCTTCAAGTACCTGGGTGTTCACATTAACAATAAACTGGACTGGTCCATAATACAAACGCCCTGCACAAGAAGGGCCAAAGTCGCCTCTTCCTTCTGAGGAGGCTGAGGTCCTTCTGAGGAGGCTGGGGTCCTTCTGAGGAGGCTGAGGTCCTTCTGAGGAGACTGAGGTCCTTCTGAGGAGGAGGCTGAGGTCCTTCTGAGGAGGCTGAGGTCCTTCTGAGGAGACTGAGGTCCTTCTGAGGAGGAGGCTGAGGTCCTTCTGAGGAGGCTGAGGTCCTTCTGAGGAGGCTGAGGTCCTTCTGAGGAGGCCGAGGTCCTTCTGAGGAGGCTGAGGTCCTTCTGAGGAGGCTGAGGTCCTTCTGAGGAGGCTGAGGTCCTTCTGAGGAGGCTGAGGTCCTTCTGAGGAGGCTGAGGTCCTTCTGAGGAGGCTGAGGTCCTTCTGAGGAGGCTGAGGTCCTTCTGAGGAGGCTGAGGTCCTTCTGAGGAGGCTGAGGTCCTTCTGAGGAGGCTGAGGTCCTTCTGAGGAGACTGAGGTCCTTCTGAGGAGGAGGCTGAGGTCCTTCTGAGGAGGCTGAGGTCCTTCGGAGGAGGCTGAGGTCCTTCTGAGGAGGCTGAGGTCCTTCTGAGGAG